AAAATCACCATGTAATATTAGAAAATAATAAGAATTTTTTTATTGCAGTAATTACATAAACTTCATGGAATTTATTATACATTCTCTCACATAGTGAAACAAACTTTGTTTGTGATACGGCTCGTCGAGTTTAACGACAAGAAAAATTTAGGAAAATATCGTTTCTGACAGAAACCGCAATTTCGCAAACGTCATTGGAGTTAGTCGGTGAACTTTTGGAACAAAGGTGCGTTTCGCGCAATCCACGGTCTAGAAATGGGTCGATGGGGTAGCAAAAAAAAATGAGAACCGACGCGAAAAGAGAATAACAACACGTTGTCGAGCGAACACGTGTGAAATAATAAATTCGACGCAATTGTTCCCCCGTATCAATAAATATACTATCTGCGGATACGACGTTTTTTTCTGCTCCAGCGTTTGCACTCGACGTAGCCATAGCGCGAAATGAATTGCATCGCTTGTCGCTTCGTATTTTTGTTAGTGATCTGCGATACCTAGGTGGAATTGCTTCGTATTCGATGCCGGTGTGTTTACGCAATACTTGGCTAGATTTCGTCGCCTCATTTCGTTATTCCACGCTCTTTATGTTGTCCATTCTTCTACATGCAGACAGTAGAGTAGAGTAAACAACATATTAGGTGTCAATCGTTATTCCAGGTTCTCTTTTCATAAGTACGTAAAATTGAAAAGTAGTCAGAATATATTCATTACTAAAATTACAAACAGTTTAAGGCATTTTATTTTTCTTTTTGTCTTGGTTAGGTTACTATACTTGGTTTTATATTCCAAAAATTCCATTCAATGAAATATCGAGACTCCCTCAATGTGACAAAAATTTTGTTCAGCTTTCTCTACGTCTGAAGCCATCTATCACTCTAATTAGGGTAACAAGTTTCGTAAGCGTGCAAAACCTGGTTAAAAAGTTTGAGTTACGCTGGGGGGACCTTTTCTTGTATGGAGTTCATTATAGAGGCACTTCGTCTTCCGAACACGTATTTTGAAACTCGCTAGAGGAACACGATACCGATATTTTTAAAAGCAACTGGCTGCTGTCCTTCTCGAGAAAGTGGGAGTCAGTTAGTGAAAAGCTCTCGAATATTTTTTAGTCAAATATCCCGTCCATAATGTCCTTTTACATGCAGAAGACCTTTGTGTAGAATCGGAGAACAAATTTCTTTGAATCGCTTACAACGCGTGGCAAGAAATTTCAATCGTTCAGTTACGTTCTGTTACGATTTATTTCATTTACATGGTTCCTAATTTTTTAATTTAAACTTTGTTCAGGTCGAAGATTTCTTTATAAAATTAAATTCCAATAAAATTTGCTTTCTTTTCAATATTAGTTTTAATAACGATGAGGACATTATAAATACGAAGCAAGGTTGGTAATACTGGTATTTAACTTTTGTATGTACAACAAGGAAGTTTAATAATATTTCATTCAACGTACAGAAACTTGTGCTACTTTGTCTGAAAGTCAATTACAAATAATAATTTCGATCACTGCATTTCAATTAGTAATTTCTCTACATTTCGAATGAATGTTTCCGTAGCATTGCTATCCGTCATTCAAGCGTAAATTAACTTTTGGAATTTTACTGACACGGTGGCATTTAATTACCTATTTCCAACAAATTTTTATTCAAGGCGTATCCAACGGTTATTTTCACGTGGTTTACATATATAAGCGCAGTACACCATGTATAAAATTGCTGCAGAAGCTGGTTTTAAATATACTTTCTACAATTAACAGATCCAAACGTTTTGTACCGGTATTTTAATTTTCACGGGCTTCGAGCTTTTTAACATTTTTAAATCGCTAATATTTTTGCTATCTGCGAAGCTTTCAAGACTCTTAAGGAGCTACGCCAAGTTGGAGATGTAAAGTATTCATGGGTTTTTAAAAATTTATTACAGTGAACGCTGTGATCGAAAAGTTTGTGCTTTGAAGTACATGAATACACGATATTTGTAGAGTTGAAAAATATTTTCTTCTCATATTAAAGTCGATTCTTCGATTAAAATGGTAGTGCCTATTTGAAGAAAGATTCTTATTTATGAAAGTATTCTTTACTTATTCACGTAGGATTTTATTGAAAAATTGAAAAGTACCAATATGGTGCTTGTTAATAAGGGTATCCCAGCAGTGTACTAAGGATTTTAAAATTAATGGATGTATTCATTAATCACGATATTTTTCTAATAGTTCTTGAAAATATTTTCATACACTATTAATGATATTTATTCATGTACTACAAACACAACCTGCTAAATACCGTTTTACTGCAATACATTTACAGGATCATAACTATTTCACATACAATAAAAGTACTTAAACATAAATAAATATGAATTTTAAATATTTCAGATTTCGAGAATAAACATCTGCAACAAAATTTTAAACAGAACTTCCTAAAAATGGTCCCTCGATGAACCACACGTTGGCCCATTTTTACCACCCACATATAAATAATTAAAAAGAAATTATTCAGACTCCTCAAGCCAAGCATAAACATCATGCAAAAGTAAAGATCAGGACTTTCTTTAAATAAAATGTCAAAAACGTTTTATCTCGAAGCAATTCGACCTCCTAGTTTCTTTGAACAACCCTCTACAGCATGAAAGGTTGAATTTTTGTCTTTCCTTAGAAATTTAATTTCGCATTGTATCCAAACACCTTTGTGCGATGAAATTGTTTGTAAATTCGCGTTGCGGAAATTCGAACGGCCATTACGACCCCGCGTGCAAGGTGGCAATACCCGATTCCATTTCTTGAAGCAATGGGAGAAACCCGCGAACGAAGTTCCTCGCATCCCGCAGAATTACCACGAAGAATGCGTTCGGTGGTCGTTCACCCGTTTTCACGCCATTGCGAGTCTCACTCTTGAAACCGTCGAGTGTCGATTAATGAAACGTCGAAGGAGCCGTGGTCCGCGTTGCTTTGCGCACGAAATTTAATTTCGGTTCATTGTTGGTTGCAGTCAGCCGCCCGGGAACCTTTGATCGAAACCACGCTTGTTTATTTTTTTAATACTATACCGGGGTATGGTCTCGTTGTGCAACGCAATTACATTTTTCTCCCCACCTCTCTCTCATAAAACATTGAATTCCCTGTATTTTAAACCAATTTTCCGGAATTACTTTCGCCCCGTTCGAGAAATTCCTTTGACGTTATCGCGAAACTTCCCCCGCCGCTCTAATGTAATTAATATTTTCCATACGCTCGCAACTGAGCTTTAATTACATTTGGCGTCAGCAATTTCCTACCATACGAGTATCGCTTCGATTCGTTATTTATATCGACCGACATTTTCCTAATTTTCAGCGACGAGCGTCGATGGCGCTAGTAACTTTGGGGTTAAAGGATTTCGAGTAATCAGTTCTTGAGTAGTTTAAATAAAATATATTTTTGTTCAGTGAGAAGTTGATATTTTTACAACTCATTTTAATTTAAAAATTACAATATTTTTGTTTTGATCACTTCAAAGTATAATTAAATATCTTAAGTTTACAGTTCAAATATGTATTTCTTATATTTGTTGGGGATGATTTTATGTTAAGAGTGTTATAATATTTGATATCGTGAATTTATTTTTGATTTTAGTGTTAGGATTTCTATTTCTATTTATCTTGTTATCATTGATCAGTTAAAATAAATTATTTTTGTCATTGTACAAACAGAGACATGTATCCATTTTCACTGATGTTTCAAGCATCAACAATGTAAACGAATTGGAAAACACTATGAAATGTGTTATTTTCACGTACATTAGGAATTACTGTAACGTCGTAAACATCCAACGTAATGTAGCGACTGTTTAAATTACATTCCTAGAAATACGTCAGGTGAATCAATAAACGTTCATCCAAATATAGTTACGAAACGTTAATAGCGCGATTAAAAGTCCAGAGAGCCGTTTTGAATTACCTATTTTTTCGTTAATTCGACGAAATCCCTAGTTTCTCTTGTTTCCTATTTTAGCGTAAAGCTCTGTTATTTTAATTTGAAAGACCAGGGGCGATTTTTTTCACACTCCACGATATATCATAAAATTTCCAGGGCGTGCAAAACAAAACACTTTCCCTTCAGTGATTAAAATGGCGATTAAAGTCCCCGAGCGCGGCCAATTATCGCAAGTCAATGCCGCGAAACAAAAGATCATCGCACGCCCTCGGTGTGCACGTTAAGCCGAGGGGAGTCGAGCATGCAGCAGGATCGTGAGGCCATTCAATTCCTTCTGTTATAATTTTTTACGCAATTTAAACTCGAGGAATTTTCAACCACTCGAAATTTATATATCGTAAAATACACAATGGTTTAGTAAAACTTACACATTCATACAGCATTGGAATATTTTAATTTTCTATTGTTAAATTAATTCAGAATACTTTACTTGGTTTTTGGGGGCACGTAACGTTAGTAACAATTGTATTGATTAAATTATTGGTTGACTAGATCGTTCTTTAATTCAGGAGTACATACGAAACCAAGAATTAAATGATATGTCAGTTTTTTCATCTTCCATAATTAAGTCTGCTGTAACTTTTTAACATTTTCTACATAATCCTTCGTCCGTCTTCCTTTCAATAATTCTATTCTGTCTACTTCTCTAAACTATCATTCACACATGATGCTTGCCCCTGACATTCAATCCAATTGCAAAAGATAAAAATCCTCGCATTACGCATCGGATGACCCGACACAATGGCCTCCCTCCCACTAATATACTTGCAACGGAACTTACGAGCTAGGTAGTTCGAGCCGGATTCGAGGTTTTACGATCGGATTCTCGTTGGTGCGGGACGGTTACATTCGCTGCTGATCGGGTCAGCATGCTCCGGGGTCTGGCGTAGAATATTTGCGAATATCCATCGAGACATCGGTAGATCGGTCCAGATAGCCATCTATCCGGACGAACGGCGTCGCGCTGGAGCGTGCCGGTACGCGTGTACACGAGGGAGGCGGGTTTGGCACCATTGCAATGTGGCTATTGTTTCAGTGCCCCCGGATATCCTGGACTACCCTACCAGCACGGACATGGTGGTGCGGGAGGGGAGCAACGTGACGTTGCAGTGCGCCGCGACGGGCATCCCGACGCCAACGGTCACGTGGCGTCGTGAAGCAGAAGACAAGAACAACCTGTCAAACTGGAGAGAGGGTACGTACTCATCAGATGATTCTTCCAACACCTTCCGCACTTCTTCGAATTCGTGCTACTCGCTCCTGTTGGTCTCCACTATGCCGAGCCAGCACAGAGACACCCGCTTCCTTTTTTCCTTTATCAGCTCTATCCCCTTTTTCTCAGCTCGCATTGTTACCCTGGCAGTCGCCCCGCGCCTCGTTCCGCGTATATTGCCACTCTGCTCGTAGAGAAACGCATACCTTTACTTCCCAGTCCTTCTGGCTGGCGAATAAAGGCGTGACAGACGGTTCGACCGTCTTCCTCGCCTCTCTGATTGCGCGAGATCTTTATTGCAAAACTAGACACGGCGGGGCGAGGTTTGACAGCTCGACGCTGCCGTTCACCGTGCTCGTGTGCAACCGTTGATACGGTCGCTCGATATCCCCTTCAATGATTGACTACCGTCACGTAGAAGGGGATGCTACGCTTCTTCGACTATTTCGTTTTGCAAGTTTACTGACCCCGTTAGTTACGGAGAGCGGTAATTGTCAAATTGAATGCCTGTGGCCGGCTACCCACGCCGATGGGGTTGATTGCTGCGCCAAAGGTTTAGGTACGGTTTCAATTCGGCGTTTCGATTATTTGGTTGTGTGGTTCCTTTCGGAAAGAAGGTTCTGTTCCAGAGATTTTTCCTGCGAGTTCTTGAAGAGTGTTGTCAGAGTAGCGTTTATTTGTTACTACTCGTTATGAAATCATGCGAATGTCGAGGTAGTGCTTCTGTGGGTATTAAAATTCCTAAGCGGGTGCGCATCGTATTCCATATTAGTTCACGTACTTTTCTTGTTATCAATTTATACACTTCACCTAAAATTGATTCCAGCGTGTACAATATTAGACACAACTTACCTTCGAAGTTTATCAGGTTGTTCATCTTCCTGCTTTGTAAAACATCATTTTTCTTTATAAATTATGGTACGTGATCCACTCTTTATTCCTGATAATAAAGCTGTAACAAGATTATTCAGCTTGGGGTCTAGTAAAGTAAAAATTTACAAATTCTATTAACACGTGACAATTCTATATAATTCTAAAAAATAACACGACTGGTAAAGTTCACTACGATAAAAGTGGGTGTAAGTAAAGCTTTACATTAGTAGATTTCAATGGATAAATAGTTTCAGTTTAGTACAACGACAGTTTTGCATTACCAAGTTTTGATACAGGCAATGGAATTAAAGTGTCACTTCAGTCGAATTGGGTGAAGGGTATGGAGGCGGAATTGTACCTCCAGAGTACAGTCCGGTCGAGTTGGTAGCAGAGATCAAAACTTTTGTTCAATTCGGTAGAGTGAGCGAGGTCTCTGTCAGTAAAATTTAGTGGAATAAATAGAGGTAACTTTCTACTTTCATGTGCAGGTATATTTAAATGGGACCATTTAAATTTCATCATCCTTTACGAGTACACGGAGAAAGATTTTAAAACGAATGTAATTGGATGGAAGAGAAAAATTTTCCTGAAACATTCTTTTGACGAGTTTTTGAACATTATTATTTTCACAAAGGAAATCGTATGTTTTATTATAATTCGTTTCGAATTGATTTCATTAAAACTAACAATTATCATTGCAAAATAATATAGAACGTTGTGAAACTGATAGTGGCACCAATAAATGTGTTTAACCCTTTCAGACCTGAATTTTTTTTCTCGTACTAAAATTAGTATGATAAAAAAAATTAAAGAAAATCCTAATAGTGTTGTTTTCGAGGAAAACTGGTCTTTCTTCCTATGTGCAAATAAGGACATTCGCCTTAAACGATAGTGTCGGTAATTTTTGAATTTTGTGTATTCAATTATGGATGCCAGGCCTGAAAGAATGATGGCTTGAGTTATTTTCTCTCGCTGTAAAGGTAGAACTGTATCTAACTGGCGTGGCAACTTTGTGCAAGCCCTTCAATACAAAGGCCTTCATGGTTTCCTTTGTTCTGCTAGGACAAAATCCCTATCACTGGAGCATATATCTAATCCCCATCGCCAAACATGAAACTAATTCCCGTTACTGGATATGAAAGTAATCCCCATTAATGAGCATGAGATTATTAGACACACACCCTGCTATATCAAACACTTCCTGAATAATCAGAGAAAATGAATTAGACACGATGACTTTAATTTACTCGTTCAGCTGTAGACATGCTTTTCAATTATGAGAGGACTCTTGATGCGTTATTTTTTTTTTAGAATAGAAAGAATTTTTAAAAAAATCCAAATATCTTCAATTTTGGCATATTATTTCATGATATGATACTTTCACTCTGCAACTGATACTTGATCAAACAGTCTGTTCCTGTCTTTAAAAAACATGTGCTTAAAAAAGTAGTTATTGCTTCAGCTACAAACGTGTATTTTAATTTCTAAGTAATTACTGATGAGCTCCTCTTTCTTAATATTGTTAAAAACAAAGTGTAACACCTAATTATGGAAAAACTCAAGACATTCTCATTCTGACTCTTTGATCCTCTGATACTTATCCTCTAGAATTTGTAAAACAGCCCATTCCCGCCACCAACTATTTTAGACGGTAAATCGACCACCTAATCAGACAATAGCTCTCACGTTCCTCCCACGAGCGTATTAATCATCTCCGTCTGCCAGCCTACCAATTAAGCTTCGTTACATGTACATCCTCGATTAATGCTTCGATACTTCAATTATATAAACGAACGGCACTAGTCCCCAGCTAAAACCGCACCAGCAAGGAACTTCTGGTCCGTTCGAGAATTCGAAAATCGATACCCACGCCAGCGGAGATACCCGGAGCCTTATCTGCCCAGGCTGGACGAAATCGACGGCGAAGAGTGCTTCTGTTTTTGAGCCGTCAAAGCCGTCGGTCGTTTTCTCCGTCCTTTCACCCCTTAATTACCATTCCGTGGCCCTTGTTCGAATTACTCGCTCGCCTCTCCTTCGTACGCTCTTTACCCCCGATACGCCATTTCTCCGATCCTCGTCCGCCTTCCACCCTCCGCCATCGCGCGTCTGTTCAACCCCGTTCCGTGACTAATTGCGCGCGGAAGTGCAAGGGACGTTTTGAATTGTACCGTGTGCAGGTGCGTAAGCAAGGGGGTTAGGCGGCCTTTTCCCTCGTTTCGCTCCCCCTTTCTCGCCTTGCAACCCGCCCGACCGCTCCTGTTAACCCCCGAAACACCACTCGACCATTTCGGGCTCCGGTTGAATGTTGGACCTTTGCGTTCCACTGACGCCGCTGCGGTGACGTGTATAATATGCACCGCAACTCGGTCGTGGTTTTATTTGTTGTGATACGAACCGAATTTAGGACATTTTTGGACGTTAAGAGATTCTTGTCGGGAAAAGGGGATATTCGCAATACACAATTCGCGAGTTATTGGCTTTTTCATTCCGAACATTTGTTACGACTTTATGACTTATAAATGAAGCTATTACTGATCAGTGTTCATACAATAACTCCATCTTGTTTGTATTTATACAGCATCCTGTCACAGTTTGATCGATTAACTTTGCGACACCAGAGGGGCGGATCTACCACGAAACTAATAAAGCTTTAGTTTTGAACCTCCGCGTACAAGGGACCCCCAAGAGCTCCACAGTTGTTGATCGTTTAGTTCAAATATTGTTCGGAAGAAGAATTTACGCTGTTTTTGAAAAATCAACATTTTCATTCTATAAAATACTTCAAGAAAGGCTGACAGACGCACTTCAATAAGTAGCTGTTTATTTAAAATGTGAAATTCTGATTTTTCTCCACTGAAAGATTTCCAACCCTTAGATTTTTCAAAAATTTAATGGTTTTATATATAGCAAACGTTTCTAAAAATCAAATTCCTCCTGTCTCAAAATTTATACTGGTCTGTAAAACGCTCTAGAGAGTACAACTGTCCCCAAACACTCGAAGGTTATAAGAATGATGAAACTTCCGGAAGTACTGAAATTTTGATAGTCTCGAAGATTCGGAAAGTCATGAAATTCTTTTGCCTCGGGAAACCGTAGCCGGTTTCAAAGACTCGAATATCCAGAAAGTCGCTGATCGCGGAAGATTTGAAAGTTGGGGATGTCTTAACAATGTTGACAGCGCGGAAAGTTTCAAAAGTTTTGTTTGCGTTGGAAACTCTGTACGTTTTTGTACGCGTTGTAAGTCTCGGAAGGCTTGACAACCTTTATCATGTATTTTCTCACCCCTTCAGGCGTCCAACTGCCACTTTTATCTCTTAATTCCATGTTTCTCAAACTCCATCTATCGATCCTCGGATGCAGAAACGATAAAGATTAAAACATGGTCGTTCAATTTAAACAGGTTCACCCTAAAGCCCACAATCCAAAAATGTTAATCTATATTAACCCTTATACTACACTCTACATCTAAACTTTTTTTCTCTAAAATTAGGATAATTCACGATACTCGACATTTTTAATTAACAAACTTAAATGAATAGGTTATAAATTCAGAAAATTCAACGACTCGAGATCTGAAATATTTAGTGAGGGCGTTATAACGAGAGAATGGAATTTTCAGTTAAAATATTGTCATCTCACACCGTTGTATCAAGGAACGTAAAAGGAAGACTAAAGGATTTTCCGCGACAGGCGAAAGATAGGAATGAATTTCCGGTGATTTATTCACCGGATGAATCTTTTATCGTCGGTGCTCGGTTTTGAGGAATCGTTTTAAGCATTTGTCGTTACTTCTTTTACTCTCCTCATTCGCTTCCTGTTCTCCAGCCGTCGTTTTCGTGGAACGTTCGATCGCGATTCCATTAGGCGATAAGTAGGGGTGAAAAATAAAATATTCCATCCGCCTTGTACACCGTTTCCCTCCTACACAGTTCGTTTCTCGATTTCGTCATATTGCAGTTGGCGTACGGGAGAGTCTCGATAAAGAAAAATGAAAAGCATAGTCGTCCACGGTGAAAGCTCCTGTCAGTAATTTCAGAACAATTCGAGACAATGGTCTCGTAATTGCCCAAGGGTGAACAGCTCGACGCGTGGAATGAGATTCCAACGGGTTGAACATTCTGTTCAACAAGTGTTTAAAAAGACGTGCTTTTTCTGTTCATTCCCAGGGGAATGAGCACAACGAACTGTATGAAAGAGATTTTCTTTCCATTAATTACGGACACACCTCTCACTGGAACGGGGTTTCTTAAACTGTGACCCGTGAACCCTTGGGCAATTGTGAACTCTCGGTACAAAGAAAGGAGTGCGATAGCTAATGAAATAAAATAAAATCGCTGTTCGTAGTATTGCATTCCTATTAAAAACATCGATTAAAAAGTTTTCTGTCGCCAGTAGCGAGAGATAAAAAATAGTGGAATGGAAATTTAAACCTTGAGTGTTTGGAACAATTCGAATTTACTGTAAATACGTATGTTGCTAATTTGTCTTATACTTTACAATTTATTATATGATAAAGTTAAAATTTTTAATTTTAAAAGCAGTACTCATAAAATATAAAAAAAGATCTTTAATGTCATCAAATATGTACTTTAAACATTTTCATTAAAACATTTCTTTATATTATTTCATCTCTATAATATAAATATACATACTTATTATTTGCGTTAGAATAATTATAAACATCGGCAGGTCTGTCATCATTTATTAATGAACGCTTTTAGTCTCGCCTGTTGGTTTCTAAGTAATTTCTGAAATAAAGGAGGTAGTTCTACTTTCTAATGTGTTTGTCATTATTTAGAACGATCGATTATTTCATGAAGCTAAAGTTCACGTGGACACCTCCTCCGTGTTGCAACGATGCGTCAATCACTTATAAATTGATGTCTTCTGTTTCTGAGTTCGTGAATTTCCAAATATCTCATAAAATAGTTTCCAAGTAGCTAGCCAATTTCTTGCTTACACTAATAATTCAAGCGGTAGTGTTTCAAGAATAATGTTCGTCAATTTCATAACTTCATAAATCGTCAGTCTCATTGCGAATAGTAGTGTATATACATATTTTAATTTCGGAAATTTTTAATGGGTCTGCTTAAACGGATACACGGTATAGCTGCTCGAAACAATTTCAAAGTCCAAGACAATTAATCGAGGTGGAATTAACTATATGTAGTTATTGATTAAACTCCATTCCGGAATTGTGAAGTGTGTTAGCGGAGTTAAAATGTAATAAAGTTTACGTAATTAATTGTACCGACAGTGAAGCAGCATTGACGCGTGTTAAAATAAAATTCGGCGTTCGAATTCATTGAAAGGTCGACTTGCATCACTTGAAATGCGTGAATTGTTTGGAAATGGTTTCGCTCGTTGTTCGTTGCTCGTTGCGAGCAGCAAACAAATTTACTACCCTTTCTATAAGGTTGAATTTTAATTGGAAATAGTGAAAAATGTTCGTGGTTTCAGATAAATAAGAAATATTAAATCAAAAGATTTATTATGCGACGAGCAGTCGAAATTGGCTTTATCGATTTCAGTTAGAGCTGTGGTTTTATTTAAATTTCTCTAGATTCAATTAAATTCGACGGAACAAGAGATTCGTCGGGGCGATATTGAATATTTTTACTGAGACACCTTAATTCGAGAAAGACTTGAGACTAGAAATTGCTATCGCCGGAAGAAGTTCATCCATGAAAACTTTCGAATTATTTCTCTTAATTTATCGACTGCATCCTTTAGAAATTTTGCTCTGAAACTTAGAAAAGTCTTCTCGCGAGATTTTAAATTTTTCTCATGAAAATTGAAATAGTTGCATCGGTTACTATTTTCAATTGCTTTTTCTTGTAATTCATGAAGAATGATCCTAAGAATTTTACGGATATTTTATTGTATCAGCAATGCGTTAGGCAAAAAAACAACTGACCATATTATAATGATTATATAAACGTATGTAATGAATGACGTACGTGTGAAATGAATAAACTTCAATCCTGTTTAGACCCAACAATGGATGTCTTTTTACATTTCACCTCGTTAAAATCGATCATCCTTAAGAATACTATTTCTGTTACAATGACGCAGTATAAACCCTCAGACTTGATTCGAGTATTTACATGTTCCTTCAGGTAGACTAATTACATTCGAGAACTGCGTTCACCGGCTTTGCCTACGAAGCTTTCCTATTTGTGTTCAGTCATCTCTTCAACGAGCAACTCTTGGCTGCTTGAATATGTACCATCTGCAGCTTAACTATGTAAAAATATATTTAACCTATTTTTCATGAAGCCTGCTTAGTCTACAACTACTAGTTATAAATGATAATTGTTACGATTTATTATAATCTTAAATGGTCTTCATTTTTCACAGCATAAGTAAGACGAAACTATTTAAGTAAACCTAATAGTATAACGCTGAAACGTCCTATATAATTATAGAATAACCGTATTAATTAATTTATCGCATGGTAACGCAGCATCCTTTGCAGAACCTCCACAATTGGTGTAATCGTTATCCAATCTGCATCCTTTCTTTTCGTCGATGCTCATTCAGGTGAATCTACACGTGTTCCATCTCACTGAACAAATATCGATACCAGATATTAAAATGGACACCAAAAGCACTGCAACACACCGGCTTCAGTGCAATCGACCTTGCGATATCAATGGCTTAATAATCTCAGTTTTCACGTGGTCGAACCTTATGCCAGTTTCTAGCTATGATTTGGTTGTTCGCGCATCAGGATCGAGTTCGCACACTTGTTAGTATTGGATCGCGTGTTCATGTCTTAGACGCTACAATGATCAATTTGTTTATTTTTAAGACAACGTATTTAAGAATGTAACATATGGCTCTATATATATATATATATATGTGTGGACATCTTCGAGATTTTATCATATTACCTTTTGTTTGTTTTATCTAGCAAAGGTACATACATTGACTGTGATAGCTTTCAAATAAATTAAGAAAATTATATTTTATACTTTTGTGTTATAATTGTTTACTCTATTCGTTCTGCATCTTTTATCTCCTTTCTATAGGCTTCCTTATTAGCCACCTCAGTATTATCTTTTATCTCTTTCAATCGCAATAATCCCCACGTACTATAAATAACCAGATTCCAAAATACATGCTTCTGCAAATGACATTCTCATTCAATAAATCAAGACGCTGTCTTCGTTTCTCGCTGTTGAATTAATCAATACTAGCCTGTTAAATATATCCCACAATTAATAACAGATAAATCAATGACAAAACTGTGTGAAATATAATTATCCCCAAACCTCAAAAAGCTTACATAATACATAACTTGAGTATTTAAAATGACACAGTTATCTACACCCAGTATCAAATAAAATAAAAAAATATAAACAAAACGTTAACGAGGAGTATCCAACAATTCCTTCAAAATCGTTATACTCCAAGCAGGCGTGAAAACAGCTAATAAACGCGACCAATAAACGAAGCACTTATATCTGTACGACCCTGTGTTTTGTTCTAGTTCCAAGTACCCAGGGCACAAAGCTGGAAATAACGCGTGTGACGCGCGTCCACATGGGACCGTATTTCTGCATAGCTTCGAACGGCGTGCTACCGTCAGTCAGCAAGCGGATCGTCCTCACTGTTCACTGTAGGTACCTAAAATCATCGCCGTGCCCGCACAATTCTCTTCCAGAACAGTGTCAAATTAAAGGGCGCGATTAAAGTTCCACTTGTGACACGGAAATTTCAACTGTTGACGGATCCGATGCGAAGGAATTACAAACGAGTGACGCAACAAGGGGGACCGACAACATTATGGCTCCATTGTAACCAGATTGTAGATACTGCATTACATAAGCTTTGAACCTGATTGCTCTCTAATTGGATTTGCAATTGATTCACTGTAGAGGGAAACCAAGCCGCTAAAGCTTAATTCTATCTTTACAGACGATTGATTTCTGAACTAAATGGGTGCCAGGAAAGATGAATCTCTTTGATTACTTTCATCTCACCTCATAGTACTTGAGAATGTATCTTTCTTGTAGACTTATGTTAGTATGTTTGGTAGAACGAAATACGAAGTTTCTGAATCACATGTAACAATACTGCCTTTCTAATTTATTTTAATTTTTGTGTGAATATTGAACTTGGTAAAGATCTCGTCGTAATATATATCTTGTGGTACAGAATTCGTCGTGTTCATGTATCGTGTACTATGAATCAATATAGTATATGTAAATACGTTTATTAGAAATAGTGGAAAATGCATAAACTGCAGTGATAGTTCAAAACTCGTTGCATTTCCAAACATTAGAGGTTTCAGTACGAAGCCTGCAAATCCTGTTGAAAGTTTATAGACTCATTGTGAATATTACATTTGACCTACATCCATCGATAACCTTTGGAACAGGATTTAGGGAGGATGGCATAAAATACATCTCTGAATTATTCATAAATAAAATGTCCCAGCAAATACATGACAAAATTCTTTAAATATATTGAAGTATGTTTTATATTGATCTAAAATTTGGAAAGAGAAGTGCAAACAAATATTAAGTGATCTTACCCGACGATAGATTAGCATTCATTACGATTCTGCAGTATATTATACTGAATCTTGTCTAAGAGACGCGTGATTATCCCCTCCACTTCTTGGAACCGCTGACGTAACAAGGACCGTTAGGTCACCATCTTTCATCCCAACAAAGCGAAAGCCTCAGTCAACCCTCATTTGTAAGGCGGGGCACAGAAGCTTATTAAGAGGGTCAAAAACGGTTTATACATAATAAATATCGACCCCTTTTCGACCCTCTTAATGAGCTTGCCGCACTTAAGAAATTCGGAACATCGGCGTTATTATTAATATGTTAATTGCCGTGTTATTCACTGGTGTTCGCCACTTACTCAGGTCTAATATTATCTACTATTGTTACTATAGCTGGAAATTATTTAACACTGAAACTGCGAACGTTCAATTCATGACTCTTACGCATACTGCTATATCTTTGAAAATAATGACTTAATTAATTATAAAATTAAAATGTTTACCATAAATTGCAGCAAGAAGTTTTAGTGTTAAAATATTAAATATTTATATTTTTCATTCAACAGTTTGAGCAAATATCGAGACCGTTCTTAGACAATTAACTTTTACATACCTTCAGCTTGCGATCTTGGATCATTAAAAGGGAATAAGAGCGATTACACTTCGGACCCAATTGACGTCTAAGAGACATGGCCCGTGCAGGTGTCTCTTAAGCAGGATCCACTGTATCACGTTCGGAAGAATTCATAGCGTGCTCATCGCTGTACGTTACGAACCCTCCAACTGAAAAATGGCGAGCATTTCGCGACCGTGTCATAAATCTAACTTGCCACGCGGTAACGATGTTGGATAGCGAAGAACGTCTGCTGGAGGTGGAGTATTAGACACGTATGCTCGAAAATGCAATTTGAAGTCTCACAACGTGGCCGTGGATATGTCGCGAAAGCATACCATATAACGACGCCACTTGGGACATCGTGAATGGCAGATGCGAAGGACCATTGTTTCCGGGGACCGAAGTGGCGCCTTAAATATTTTCCGCTCGCGGCGAAGCTCTGCTGTCACGAGCCGACCTGTCGACGCTCTTACGGATTGATTAAAATAAGGGTTCTTCGAATACTGACTTTGTGGTGGTTATAGCTCGCGACCTATTCGATCTTGACGACTGCTTTTTCTTTTCATGAATATGAAGTTAGCTATCGCAATTGTATGTAAATCGTAATTAGCATGTTAAAGAAAGTTACGTATGTAGAAATTAATTCTGTACCTTTAGGTTAAAGGTACCATTTATTTATACATGAAAACCATCCATACAACTTTAAATTTTCCTTGATTTAAACTGGAGTTATGAATAATGAAATGTGAAGGTATAGAATTTATCTTTATACATAATAATTCACAAGTACAGTCATAATTTGATAGAGGAACAATAATCAAAATTTGTTTCCTTCTGAGTATTACATGTATAGGTAAATTGTAATGTCCATCAGGTTGAGATTCACACTATTTTAACATAACAAAATTACGATTGAGTATTTCTATTTAAATGACTACTTTGAATGATGTTTAAAGGGAATGGGATTTTTCAAAATCCGGTTACTGAAGGACTCTTTGGGATGACTTGTTCGGTGACTTGCTGAGACGCAATGGATGCTTTGCGTAAAGGATTCATGCATGCACTGCTTGATAAAACTTGTGAGAAACAAGTCAAGCACTCTTCAGTTGAAGAGTCCTTCAGTAACCCAGAATGAAACGAGCCTGTTTGAGGAAATCGTCGTCTCACTTAAAATAACATCTCTAAATCTTCTTAGAAGAGGATTATGTCTTCTTTCGGTACGTCGATTACAATTGACATGTTTCCTTCCATATTATCATATACCATGCAGGTGAACCATATAGGTCAATTTAATTTTTGATGTTTCGATTTAAATTTCTGTTTGGATTTGAATAATTTTACAATTTTTAAATTTTCAACGTAAGCTTTTGAAAATTTGCATTAAAAATGTAGACACAGTGCAAGAAAGTTGCGTTACTTCTTTCAGCACGTTTCACATCATTTATACGTGAATTTAGTCGCATCAAGTTCGCTTGACTGCTCAAGGCCACTTTTCCAACCATGAATCATGTGAAGCACGACTTCTACTTTGACGTCATGTTAGCTTGCCTCCCTGTTGAACACACTGGCTACCATTCCATGCATACAATAGCGTGGAAAAGTTTCCGTACAATTATTATTCTAGTCGCTTTTTAGATAGGTAGATAGATAGATAGGTAGATAGAGAAAGAGATAGAGTGGAAGAAGTTACTCTTCAAAACGAAACAACTATTTTCATCATAATATTCTGCTTTCTAGTTTATTTTACTATACTGTACCTCATTTTGCTATAATTCTATGTTATCCAAACTTTATCGTAGCTTTATATCTCTAAATCGAAGCTAAAGTTATTTCTCAAGACATATCTATAACAGTTTAATTCTACATATTTAATATTTGCTGGGACATTTTTTGGATGATTTTTATGAATTTATGTAAAAATATGAAGTCTGCACGTTTGTAAATTTATTTTGCTCATATATTCAGAGATGAATTTTTGCTGTCATTCCTAGGAATACCTGTAAATAAACAAAGTAACGGATAATAGAATGGCGAAGATCTCATTCTTTTCACCAGTGAGATACGTAGTATTACTAGGATTTCTTTTCGCAGTTCAACCAATGGTATGGATTGAAAACCAGTTAGTTGGTGCTTACGAGGGCGAAACACTTAAATTGGAGTGTCGCATCGAGGCTTATCCAAGACCGATCACCTATTGGACGAGGCCATTGAACAAAACGATCACTAATGGTACGTACAAGTTGAATCCTCTCTTGAAGAGTTTTTTAACTTTTTCGAACTAACAAAAACAATTACAAAAAAGTGCAAGCAATATAGACATTAAAGCGTTACACAAACAAAATTTTTCAGTGATGTTTCACATATTTAAAGTAATTTAAAGTAAAGTTATTCGCGGAAAAATAACAGATACTTTAAATAACCCTCTAGAACGTAATTTATGCAAACATTAAATAACGAGAGAATATATATGCGTTTCGTTTAATTTAAATTTCTAGAACAATGTTGCAAAAGTAATATTATTAAAGTGCCAATCGATTTGAAATTAAAGAATCCCTAAATAATTTTATTCGTGGAAAGGTGGCGAATTCATTAATTAACCCTCTCGAAACTTGTGTTTACCCTTTAATCGTCTCCCCCTAATGTTGTTGTTTCGCTTTAAACGCAGCCTAGGCCCTCTCATGATAACTGTTGAAGGGCGAGCCGAAGTTCACGTGCGTGTCGTTTTATTCCAAGCGAGCATAATTGATAACACGTACCCAACGAAAATTAATAATAAGCGCACGACACTGGTCGGTACATATCTTAATTTTCTTTCTGTACATGAATTATTACCGCCCTTAATTACCACGAACGGTGTGGAAACATTTATTTCTGGATTAATTGATACGTCGGCTGAGTTTTAAGCGTGGCAAAGTTTGCCCGTGGCGTGACAGAAACTCGTTAAACTTACAGATTGAACGGAACGAAACAAACGGCAAGAAAGATGCGGATGAAAACAGGAAGGTGTTGAAAAGTAATACGAAACAGTGCTAAATTGTTTTGCGCGATGTTCCGCGTCTACTATGACAGAATTCCGTGCATTCTTTGCTGCTCGGTGGTGACATTACGTAACATTGTAAAAGTCTCATAAAATATCATTTTTTAGAGAGATGTTTGCGCTAAAAATTCTGGAACTCTGCAACGCTACAAGTAGTTAGATTTATTCATTTTGATAAAGTTTTATGCGATAAAGTTCTACAATTTTTAAATAATACAACGCTATAAGTATTCGACAGAACAAAACAATTTTGGTCAGCAGTTTTGAATTAAAAATCCAACGATTAAAGCGTATAAATTTTTGACAGAGTACGACAGTTTTGGTTGCAATTTTTGCTTCAAAAATTCCAAATTGTCAACGTTATAAATATTTCCAGTTTATACATCAACTTTGATAAAGATTTATGTGTTAACAATTCGCCAGGAAGCTGTCAGTTCAACATATAGTACGGTTTATTACAAATAAAAACGGTGCGATATTTACACCTACATGTATTTCTGTGAAACGAAAATGCTGTTAAGAGGGTTCATATAAATGGAAATAATTGACAGCTAGATTTTCGACTAAAGCCAATGTATTAAATAAATCGCAATATTTTTAGATTCCTATTTAAAACTCCTATTTATTTCACAGATCAGGTACCAAGCTAAAATTTCTATTTCTACCACATTCTCTACTGTCATTAATTAGGAAAGCCAATTTCTGTGCTGAAAGTCTGTGCATACTTTGAAGTCGATTGAGTGACATATGATTGATAGAAATGAAACTGAAAATGTTTCTGTCTCTTTCTGTATCTGAAATAAACGTAATGGCTAGAAACAATTTTCGAAACTCTCCATGATTTAGGATTTGATTAAAAAAAAATATAGATTTAATTATTCAATAGGATATTTAACTACTATTCCAATTTTCTAATATATTTTCTACAATCTTTTTGCACACTCTGTATGTTTTATTTTTCACAACCACTACTCTTCGCCAGAAAAATATCACGTTTCAACGTTTTACGTTTCTAAAACAAGTTTTCGAACTCGTGGCTGTTAAAATGTGCACCGTTGCAATTTGGTGAGTGTTTCCCGTGCACTCCGTATAGTCGGATAAATGCGAGAGTATGCGACCGTTGAAGAATTATTACTTGAACGTTCAACGCGTGACGTGTGCTGATAAGTCATGAGTAAATGTCTCGCGTTCGCGCATTACCGGCGTTACAACACCGAAATATCGCGGGCATCCAACATGGACGGTCTACGCGTTCCGCGAGGAAAATGACACCAGCACGAATAACGTAGCCGCCTGTGCATCCACTTTACACAGTTTCATAACGTTTAAGCGACCAGGCATATAAATAGCGAGTTTATTGCCAGCCGAGTTTCATCTTATTCGAAACTGGCGTTATCATGTCACTGTAGTTCCGCGCGATAATAAAACAAGCCAACTTTTTAACGACCGGCAAGTGCAATTACATGGCAACGAAATTAGAGGCGTAACTCGTTGCGTGATGAGCTTCATCAAGCCATCCTTCGTCGTATTTTTCAATTCGACGAGACGCGAGGAGATCGCGGAGAATGAAACTGAAATTATTAATTTCAAATAGACGTTAATAGGAGGAGGATTCGCTTCGCTGGAGCAAACGTGAAGTAAACAAAGAAATGTCGATTATGCGAGAAGTAGAAGAGATTATTCTCGGTCACTTTTAAGATAAAAGAATATTCAGTCATTGTAAGCTGAATACATATCGGATGTAGTTTGGATACCGACTGAATTTTCAGCCCTTTTGAGTATATATAAATTTAATTTAAATTTCACCAACTAATTATGTGTTTATTCATTTTAAGCAATTTTTCATTTTTATTGCATTTTGTGTAACGTTCTCCACTGAATCGTCAGTCCTTGTCAATATATATATATAAGCATTTAATTCTATGTTTGCTTGCTCTATATTTATTTTAAACTAACATGAGGAGTCCTGAAAATTAAGTTGAAAATGGTATAAAAATACAGTAAAATGTGTAAAAAAATATTATGAATTCGTGCAAACAAATTTCTATTAGAAAGTTAAGAAAGGTATCTTGATTGTTTTATCTCACTCAAGATGATGCTTCTAATATTTCAAAGCATATTTAACGATGGAAAGTGAATTATTCGTTAAAGCTAGAATCTTTACTTTCAGTGACTCATTATTTATAGTTAGATGAATACACATATTTCAGGATGACTATTACCTTTCTGTAATGGAAACTGCCACGTTTCTTCGCGTTTACAGTAAAATGGGAGATGGTGGAATAGAAACAGGAACCTCACGACATTGATTGATTAACGCGTCTTCGAAAATTATAGTTGAAGAAAACTCCGTTGGTCGCCCACAGCTACTTCTATTTTGAATTATGTGGTGCGCGACCCTACTTTTAACGCCATGGCATCATGTCTCCGTAGGAGATAATGTCTGCTTGCAAGTTTGCACGAGGAGACAGAGACACACGTGATGTCTGGGATGGTGTAAGCGATAAAATGGATATTCTGTAGGACAAAATGAATTGAAAATATGGAATAAAATTTGTTCATTACAGGCCTTGTTTTTCGAGAAAAACGCCTTTATATAATGCATATATAATGGAATTCTTAACAATTTTTAATCTCAAATATTGAAATTAAGTTAATGGAATGAACTGTTTGAATAATGTTTTATCATTATTTTTCAGACAACAACTATAAGGTCGAGACAATTTCCAATGGGTACGAGATAACCATGAGGCTCACTATACATTCAGTACGTTCTCAAGACTTCGGGTCGTTCAGGTGTGTGGCGACCAACTCGCTGGGTGAAACAGATGGAAAACTCAAAGTTTACAGTAAGTACAATTGCTTGAGATCTTCAAATGAATGAATTTAGAGTGACGTATCGTCTATTATATGAATTCTTCTTAGAAAACAATTGTATAATTAGAATTTAAGTAAATTTGAGTAATAGATAACAAATAATACCAATGCACAGTAGTTTACTTACGGCCATTATTCGATTCAACAGTTGAATTTTATTTATTCATTACAAAATATTGCACGGAATTGTTTGCCATCAAAATAATTCACTTTCAGGTTTCACAAAAATGAATAAACCATAACAGTAATTTAAAAAAAGCACGGAATCTCCTAAAAATAATAAGTTCTGTCTGCAACTGTGTTAATTGCATGTCAATCCAGTTTTCGGATTTAATGTAATATTAAAATAATAATTTCACAACGACCGCAGCAGATTAACAAGCTCAATTTTTTCCCACTCGATGAAAGTTTCCCAGTCCAGTTGTTCAAGTATCTCCAAAAATTGCATTTCAGAGATTCAACGAGTGATGAGCGCTTTACACAAATCATGTACATTGTTTTTATCTTTTTTCATCGATCATCGTGGCGGAACATTCGATTACGAGAGTCAACGCGACGTGAGATTTTTCACGCAGTCGAACGGATCCGTTCACGTCGAATAATTTCATTTCCCATTCGATTATATAATTCTTTTTTATTCGTGGATCTATTCAGGAGGTCGTAATTGCACAGTCATTTTCAAGCATAGGCGCGCAACTTTTCTACTCGTCGCTCGGACCAAGTGGGCTCTCGTTATCGTAACTTTGACTAATTACACGGGTAGCTGGAGCCACTCGATAATATCGAATCGAGAGTCCCACTCGAATTTTGTTGTTGGATTCCTGAGAGTCGTTTGGCTTAGCCTTTCTGAGCCACTCCATTGAACAGTCAATTGATTCAACTTAATAAATACACCGCTCTACTTCTGCCCATTGTTTCGAATCAAAGACAGACTTTCCCAGTAGCGCATAAGCGTTTCGCGAAGTTGAACGTCCAAAAATGAATTTACTCCCTCGCATTGGTTGCAATTCTTGCCGATTTCCTCGTCAGCTTCAAGTTATTTCAACGTTGCACCCACGGAATGTACTGTATAAATTATTATTGATAGCAGCTTCTGCCTCAAATGAAAATTGAGTATTCCTCTTTAAATGAAATTGTACGCGTCGGTGGAGATGGTCTAATTGCTCCAGGAAGGAAGTAGAGCAATTATTTGCATGGATCAAGTTCATTCAGCAACGGGAGTTAATACTTTTATTGTGTGCCAGAGACGTAATATGAATAACAAATTCGTTTCGAATATCCTTCAGTATCATTCTATAATTACTAAGATATAGATAAACTACAATGTCAATAGCATTACTTGTAGCTCTAACAACTTATTTATTGATTTCGTTTAATTATGTTTCTTCTCTTGGAAATTTTCTTTTATAATTTTGCCGTTTTAATTAAAAACATATTCTCAGGTAATATTAGTTTGAAATGTAATTAATATCAAATCTATATAATTCATCTCTGAAGATATTTTGCGCTATCGATCTAACGTTAGTAATATGAAATTGCAGTTCCTCTACTGTCGGAAAATGTTCGTAACCTGAACGCACGTTCTCTAATTACAAAGCGATTAAATTTCGGTATTTTTGCCTTTGCTGAAATTTTTTTAGATTTACCAGCTTCGACTGCAAAGACCAACGGACAAACTCCCGCGTTTCGTTCCGTCTCCCTGTATCGCGGAGTTCTTTAAACTCGTGAATAATTTTAATAAACTACAGAATCTACAGAAAACCACAATGAATGACAGGCAGTACTTAAAAGTTCCTTATTTCGCGATGGTAATTCGAGCCTTTGTGTAATTATCAGTAGGAAAATTTGTTATTATTTTGATAATTAGAAGTATCAAAAGCTCAGAAATTGAGTGTTCGGATTAGCTTGTCTCCCTTTGATGTTACAGTACAGGCTTTCGTGTGTTCAGTTCTTTCGCGTTCACCGGCGTGCTCTTGATTACGAAAATAATTTTCTTCTTCATATTACTTTGACGTATACACGATTTAGTAGAATTTTAATGCACGCTATTTCTTTCTTCGTCCTGCCCGTTTTGAGCGAATTTTTTCGTTGTTGATGTCACGTTTACCAGACGCAGGCAATCTTATTAACGATGGAATTACATCAAACATATTTTACCCCGCTGCGAAGGTTTGCGCCCGTCTCAAAGAACTTGAGAAATTGGGAGCTAAAGAACGTCGGCGTTTTAAAGCACCGCTTCTCGTTAGCTAACGACGTTAGCAGCGCAATTTGTTCCGAAAAGACGGCTGCTGGAAATCGCGCCCCGAAATTGGAGGCAAGGGACTCGGATTCGGATAGCTTTAAATGGACGATGAATAGATATAACGTCACGTCATATCACGTTAAACATCCTAAATTAACGTCACGCGGCCGTATTGGGTTGTCAATGCAACCAGTGGCACTTGGCCAACGTTAAATATCGATTTTACGCGAAAATTAGGCGAGACGAATATTGTTTGATTTTATTAATGACACGTATCGCAAATCTAACGATCACTTTTGTTTTGCCTGTAGGGATTGTAAAAAATTTTCGAGATTAGAGATTTAGTGTTTTTGCTGTAATAAGAATGAGGTGAATAAACAACGCTGAGGAAAATGAATTGTTGTATAAATGTTCTTTTATTTGAATTGATGCAAGGAGCTAAAAATAATCTTCAACTTAAAAAGAATTATATTATACAAAGGACGTTCTACAACAAATTTATAGTATGTCTGAGTTATAAACATGTATATAAAAATAATAAATAGATAAAAATTGGAAGTAGCCTTACAAGACGATAAATTAAATTCACTCAAGCTTATGAAAATTATACTACAAAAAGTGATTTGAAACTCATAGAAACCACAGCATACACAAAATGTATGATCAGCGCATAGAAGATTTCCTTAGAACAGATAAGGTTCTAGTCAATTTCGTCCAAAATCATTCATCCAAGCGTTCTCAACACCGCGAAATATCGCGTCAGTCTGCCTCCGGATTTTCCAGACGGCGCATAATTAAACCACGAGTCGTCCGTATATAAGTATGCTCCTGATTTCTGTCTGATAATTAATCATTTGCCTGATTAGAGTATCAACGAGCCACGAGGAGTGAAATAAGCGTGTACGTTGAAAAGGAGAAAAAAAAATGGTGAATGGTGAGATGTAGGGACGCTCGAACGGATACTTAATTATCGATAATTGTAAATCAAGTGCGCGACAAGCAGTACAAGCGTTACCGCGACTTTCCTCGCGCAATTGGCCCTGCTATCTAATTGAGTAGACCCATGCTCCATTGAAACATACTCCCGAACCACTTTCGAGTTTCCTGCGGTACTTTTCCTTTTCGACGTCGTCCACGGTTATGAACGTTGGGAATAATTAAAGAAGAGAAGGAACCGGGTTACATGCTTCATTAAAGTTGATTAGCTTCGATGGAAATCTTAGCCGAAGAGGAGGGAATTATCGGACAATGATGTCGCCGGATGATGGAAAATACAGAGAAGCGAGACAACGGTAGCGAGTGAGGACAGTTACGCAGGAAATAATTGGAATAATAATTTTAAACTTTGTTCTTTTGCTTCTGTGTGTGCACAGTCGTTAATTAAATTATTGATGACATAGAAAATAAAGGAGGATTGGTCGGTTTTAAGAAAGAATTGCCAATGTAGGATGGAATAAGTCTCCAAGTAATATTTCTAAACAGGTAGCATTGTATATTTAATATTTACACGATAGATTGTGTCACTTAGATATTACTTGTTCATTTAATTTGCTGTATCGTACAATATTTAGGAATTTTATAATCTACATAAAAGAAAAATTGTTACGAATTTGTGAACATGAAAGTATACTTGCATTTTATATGGAAATAAATAATATTTAATAGAATGTTTTGTTACATCAATTTTCAATTAATTTCAAGCTTTGGGGACTGTATTATATGTGCCGTAGAATTCAGAATACTGTTGAGAATGTAACGTTTAACGTTTATCGATGCAGCAATTAATATTGAAAAGTCTATTGACGTGTCGAGGAGGAATTTAACGGAAAGTGGAATACTATTGAGCAATGGCGAGAACTTTAGTGACTGTACTACTATAGTTCCACGCAATGTTCTCGAGTAACTTGTTACACCGTTATAGTCACTACACGTTCTATTGAAAATCGGTGGTATGTAACCATTAGATATGGCAATAAGGATAGGACACATGGAACAAGCGTTTCGTGAAAACATAGAATTTAGCGTGATGCAGATAATGAGAATTATAATTAAGCTGAGAAATTTGAAACAATACTTAATATTTCTACAAATTAAGTGCCTTGTGCTTTTCACTACAACATAAAATAGTAAGTAAACCAAATTTCATCTGGTTTGGACGAAAATGTTATGAGTGACTGGGAAATTACAAAACACATACATACAAATGCTATCTAGTGTGAAAAATGGGTAAGAAACGGTTAATTTTAATATAATTTTGTACGTTACTATAATAACAATCAAATCTAATATTCCCATAAATTAAGTACTCTTGAACACTTTCCACCAGAAGGTGGTACAGATAACTCATAAACAAACTTCCTTCAAATTTTACATTAATAATACCTACCAGCAATCCCCCACGTTCTAAATCATTCTTACGTTCCAATAGACGTCCGCGAAAATTGCCCGTTCCCAAACGAGCCTACCCGTGGTCGGGTTTCATCGGCAAAAGCTCCCGATACGTTGAAACGGGGTTATCGTGCGGTCTCGGTCCCGTCAAGTTTTGGAACGCCGAACGCCAGAGACAGGTCGCGTCTTTTTCGGAAAAGTAATTAAGCGAATCGTATTTTCAAATACATCCACCGCGATTCACGTTAATACCCGTTTCCGCTGCGTCCAATAGAGGAGGAGGAGAGTGAATATGATCGGGGTTGCCTCTCGTCGTTTCGACGAAGTGTGCAAGTGACAGGAGCTCGGCTGGGTTTTGCGGGACGCCAGCTGGACGACATTCCAATACGTCAAAGCGTGGAGCATCGCGCGGAAAGTCCAATCGCTTCGCCGATTATTTTTCCGGTTATTACGCCCGGACATATCGACCGCCACGGACGATATCGCGATGCGCCATTTTCGCGCGATCGTTCGTACGTGATCTGACATAAAGCGGCTTTCGAAAACGGTATACAATTTGACGGGACGTTAAATCCCTGGCCCATAACTTGGATGGTGTGATGAGGATTGCCGCTCGTTCATCTCTATTAATGAACAGATCGCGGAGGGGGCAAGGACGATAATTTGTTGTAATCGAGAGGAGTAGGGAGACGTATTCGCTAGTGTTACATTGACGGGGGTTGATATCCTGTATCAGTCCTCCACCGCCGACGCTAATGTGCAGACTAATCTATCGATTCAGAACTCGACCGGGATTCAAGGATATTTCGACCATAAAACCGCCGGCTGAAAATTACGCTGCAATTTGGTTCCGCAGTTTCGTTTAACGACATGTTCCGCGGAATTGATTATCATTTAGTGCAGCGTTTCTCAACTTTTCGGGGGTACGTGGCATCCCTGGGGAACGTTATGGTCTTTGGATCTCTAGGTATTTAATATTGGGAGTAACTAAGTGTATTACTATGAAATGTGGAGTATAATGCAGCGATACAAAGTGTGGAATATTATACGAAAATGCATTAGAAATCAAACAAGACTAGAAATTTCAAATTAATTTTTGTTTCAATTTTTATGAAAAGAATTCGTATCTATGTATTATATTCCTGGGTTCTTTGTGTTTTTTTTTTTACTGAAGATGAACTGATACTTGGAGTCGTAAATATTCTCAATTGAATAAAAACATAGTACTGAGGGCTTCATGTCAGTCTTTAATTTTGGAAATTTTATGCCTTTTACGAGCATACAGTGACAAAAGTATATCCTGAAAGTCTGGAATCAAGATTATGTCTGAATAAACTAATAACTAATAAATTAATATCAAACTTGTGACGAATTCCTCCATATTCAACAGAAACTACTCACCTATGATTGGTTCAAAATACTGTGTTACATATACGAATTCAATGGTAGAATTAAGTTGTTTGTTACAAGCAGTTCGCCGCGTATAACGGGATACATCTATGAAACGGTTTTAAACGAGCTCATTAGATCAATCGATATGATCCCGGATCAGCGTTAGACTACGCAATCAGAAGCGTGCAACTGATATCCTGCTCTGGGTTATTCGATTACATTACAGTGATGCACACGAATCGAAACTCTTCATCCGTTTGACCCCTCGCCTAATAGATCTACGATATTGAACATAAGCCGATCACGGAATTACTTATTTAATCAATAGTTGGAAACGTTGAACTTTGATCCTTCGTGCTTTGCAGAATTCTCGCATAGAGAGCGAAGATTTAATATCTTAGCTACTAAATTAATCAGTTGCGGTAAAATCTTGCATATTGAATTTATTTCACAATTATTTCTAATCGTAACATTTGTGAATTCATTTGTAACATTCCACAAGGGTTGAAATGTTCATGTACCTGATACTTCTTTTTAACTCGATCACCTAAAATAACATTAAATGTTAATTGTACAATCAAAGTGATGTTATTGTAAAATAATAATGTTATTCTTACCGTAGTATACTCGATCGCAGCAATGGAAAATTAATGGGTAATCTTAAAGGAGATATTCTCAAGCTTCCGTACAAATAAAAAATACAAAAATGGTAAAAAAAAGCAATTTCCTAACAATCGTCAAAGAACCTCCTCCATATCATTTTAAAACAAACAGTTGTCCAAGGAAACAGATTCATATAATACCTTTTCTACGCTTATTATTCATCGAAAACATCGACCTTAGAGCAAGAAATAAAGACATCCTGTGTAACGAATTCCTTCTGAAATGCATGCGATATGAGGAGGGAACTAGAACAAACGGAATATTACACCGTGACGGACATCAACTTTTCAGATGTAGCGGAGAATTGCTAAGGTAATATGCAAGGTGTCCCTGCAGGAAAGTGGTCAACTGGTCTAACATACATATATGGCGAGTTATTTCGTATCAAAATGGCCATTTTCGCGACGAGTTTGTTTCATCCCTTATCGAAATGAGTCTCGTCCTGATGTAAAGCATAGAACTGTTATACGTGGTAGCTGTTGATGGAGATGCAGCCCAGCTTGAATGACGTGAATGATGACTGTCTATTTCCACGTTTTCAATAGTCATTGAGTAGTCGACTCTCATTCACTGTGCACCAACGTATTCGATGGTTTGCCTAACAACAGTAGAGAGATGCTAGCTTTGTACTCTTTACGTGTTGTTCCTTACGAATAATAAAAATGAAATTATTTTTGATTTGTTCGTTAGAAGTACAAATTAAGAAAATACCCTATTAGTATTACCGCAATATTTGCAAGGGTTACTGCAGTATCGTCGACAATCGAGTTTTCTGCAACAAAGAAGAGAATCATGTTGAAACATGTATACTCGATACTCGAAATATCAGAGTTTATCTAAAAGCAAGAATAAAGTGGAAATACTGTGTATGTACACGGTCTACTTAGTTTTGTTGCAACTCTGCAACGTATGAAAATAAAACCATACAATTGTTTTTGGTTCGCAATAACCTTCGAAATATACCGGAAACATCTGTTGGTTTTCCCAAGATACCATATATATTTGTTCGGTACGTTACGAGTCGATCAAAGTTGAGCAAACTTTATCTCCAAATAATAAAAAGAATGAATATGTTTACAAAAATCTATAAACAAAAACTAGCTTGCGAATAATAATAAAATTTGTATTAAAATTTGTCGAATTCTGAAGAGAGAGAAATTTAGGTTTGAGTAGTATCGAGATTTTACAGGAAATTGCGCATTTCAACTTTAAAGACAGTGGACAATAATCTATAGGATTAAGCATGAAGTTAGCCCAAAGCTCGAACCCCCCAACACCACTGCTGTAAATTAATGGCGCGCTAAACTAACATTGATCAAGTAATGGCGCAGCGTATGTAATGCTAGATTTATGCGAAACTGATAAGCCAATGGCAGTCCATTGATCTATGTTTCGAATCCTCTGTTAACAATTAGCGTTCTAATACGGCTGAACCTGCTTTTTCGTTACGGGAGTTTGAAATAATTAATAAACATACAGTATTGAATTATGACATCTCTCCTGTGAGCATGGTAAAGTTAATGAAATTAATAATCTAATTATTTTTGATTATGCAGTTTTTTTGAATAAATAGTAAATATTGCTTGCAAACGAAAAAAAAAAGATTAATATAGCTAATTACAGTCTGAAATATTATAGTTTATATTCCCCTAGCGTTTTATATTCCCCTAGCGAGAAAACGCTACAGTGAAAACCGTTTAATATTTGTGATTGGCAATCTACTATGAATTTTAAATACTGTCTCGTGGATTCATTTACTTAACACATTGGCGCGACAGTGAAATGTAACTGCACTTACCATTTGTTTGACGTTTCGCTACCGATCCGTGATCTTTTACGTGTTGCAATCTACTTTTGGAACTTCAGATCGGCATGTAATTGTGACAGTAACAGACAAATTCATGGAATTGGATTCATTTGACGTTTAACTACTGATTACTGAATTTCCGCATTTTTCCAGTTTAATTCTGGTCGTTCAGATTGAAGCGTGGATGCGACAATGAATTTATACGGATTAGATAAATGAAGAATTGATAACCAGTCATTATGGAGTGAAATATACAAGCACTACAAATCTTACTTGTACTACTCGTATTGATCAAGATATAATAATATTTTGTTTCATATCAGTATTTTATATTAAATGACTATTATCATTATCATCTTCGAATTCTTTTCACTCCTTTCATGCTTTATTTTCAGAAATAATTGTTTATTTTCACCCAACACAGAGTACCATAGAGTATTGCGACGTGTTCGTCTCCGTTAATTAATGGATGGGTCCAATACATCGAATTCTTACTTTTCAGGCATCGATGAAATACCAACGACGCGTAGACCGAACACCGGGTGGGACTCGAAGAAAGCAAGGAAGATCGATCACAGCCACGAAAGGAAGACAGCCGGAATGAAGGACGAGCCGATACTGAATGGTATCGACTACGATGACGAACAGATTGATTTCCAATCAGCAACCGCCTCGTCGCTTTTTCATCGACATTTGTTCGCGAACCTCGGCATTACCGCCGTCACGGCCATTCTGGTTGGCGGTTTATCGACGTAGGTGTCCTTTCGCAGTGACAATTATGCCAGAAACTGATTAATCTACGACTCGACGAGTTTTTGGGATGATACGAGTCGCGGGGTGCAAGCGAAAGCTAGAAACACGGTGAAATCCTTAATTGAAAGCTGATCTAAGACATCGAGCCAGTTGAGAGTTTCTTCCTTGTGTACACGAAACTTGCGGGAAAACAGTTCGAAAGCGAAGAAATTAGTAATTTCGTGGTATCTTTTATGATCGAAATTCTAGCAAGTAACATCTAGGAAGTTATTACTCCTCCTCGGAATTAACGAAACTTTGTTGGGTTGCAAAGCAGTCAAAAATGAGGAATACGTAGTTTCAGAGTAAATGTTGACTCGAGTTTCTGCTGGATATACCTACTTTAGTTTTAATGAGAAATCGTAAGTCATTCATTTTTAATGTAATGTAATATCTCTCTTTACAGAATTTATTTCAATGACTCCATGTCTCATCTAATAATTTGAAAATAGTAATACAAATCTAATACTTTGTAATACTACATTGGAACAATTAAAGAACCACGTATTCCCCATCTTTGGTTGTTCTGTAAATCAACAGTGTTTTCTAGAAATCTAAGGAGAGACACTTCATGAATGTTCCTTGTGTATAACTATAAAACGCGAATTGGCGAAGTAGTGTGTTGCGTGCGCATTCCTTTTCTTCAAAGGACTACTCTTTTCAGTAAGAGTAATTCATTTCAGCGAGAAGCAATTTTTGTAACTGCGGTCGACGAGTGGATTGTTTCTGCGGAATAGAAGTGTATGCTACAGTTTTTATTCTTCGAGCGAATTCCATGCCATTAGATCGATAACGTTTCTTTCGGCTGTATTTTTATATCAGGTTCCTTTCTAACGAAATTATTACGAAGATTTCTTTGGACGCAGCACCATATTGTATTAAATAGTTTTTTTTAATGAAATGATGCAGATAATTTGTGAAAACTACACGAAAATCGATATTGTACATTGCTTGCTCTATGATAACGAAATTTTCTACTATGAGTCTGCAAAATTGTGCTTTTCAACCAGAAATTTTGACAACAATTTCTGACATTTTCTTTTTTTATTCATTGTTCATAATTACTTTGTAAGTTTGCGAATATTCGCAAGGCCTATCAGAACGGTTTCAGCATATCCATCATTTTATATTAATTGTGTATATGTTTCAAGCTATTGTTAAAGTTGGAAACGCTTCTGTAAATATTATTTCATGGACTGTCTGATCGTCTAACATTTTTCTTGAAAATAATGACAGTGTAAACTAAGCATTTCCTCTTGTAAATATTCCTCGTTCCTAAGCCTTATGTATCATACATTTGTTTAATGATAATGGTTCTTTTAAAATTATAAAGTTTTTAGTAAAAGCTATAACCACGTTATAATTACACAATATTACATTTTCATTTAATTGAAACATCACATTGATTAAATTTTATTAATTTTGTTTTGTAATTCATAAATAAAATATCAAATATTATGCGGCACGGAAACATGTATTCATATCTTTTATTAAGTTATGTATGTAATAAACATTCGTTTGCTGTAGTAATTATCAAATTGCTACAAAATGACTGCCGTATATCTAAGATTATATATACGCGTTATTATTAATAAGGAAAGAGTTTAGTTAAGTAGAGCGCTACTCATCAATAAGAAGTCTGGAGCACTTCGAAGACCTGAAATTAATACTTTAAATACTACAATGTTCTGTAGAATTTTCTAACGTGTCAGTTCATGTTAAGTTACTTGTATTTACATAACGATTCTAAAATTGATGGCTAATGATAATGAGAGCATACTTCACCTATTTAAAAAGTGAGTATACATCTAATAGCATATGAACATTGTGTGTACTGTTTTGTAAATTGTAGACATCGTTTATTTGCGATACAATTGTGAGAGCTCTGACTACTATAAATTTTGAAATAATACATTTTCAAATAGTTACAAAACCACCCAGTGTACTCTGAAATGTTATATATTATAAAATTATTAGTACTTTTTTAAATTAAAATTTAATTTTACAGTTTCTGTGCCCTGCATGATAAGGATCGTTTAAAGTACTCCTCCATGAGGAGTTAAGGATGCCCCATACTTTCTGAATGCGCTTGCAGAGTAAAGAAGTAAAATCACTTTATAGATGAAAAGTTCAGTAAGAAGTTTGTCTCGGTTGCAAACTATTTTGATGGTTCACGAAGCTCCTTACGTGAGCTTTCCCTGTATATTAGAACATACTCATAACTTAATGCAACCACTATGAAGGTAGTAAACTCGAACAATTTATGTCGTAAATAAAAATTTTCAGTTCTGCGCAAGCAAGTTCTTTTCTTTCTACGAGATATTTGTTCGTTATCAAGATAAGTACACTGCGTCTCCAGACTTCGATCACCAACTTCGGAATCATCCTCTACGACTGAGTTCAGGTGTTTGTCGATCTGTTCAAGCGCACATGATTATTTCCTGGGAGAATCTGTGATCTCATTCCGTTCCAAAGTTTGATTTCCACGGTTGCTTGCGCGAATCCTTAGGTAGCAATGCCAGTAACCGAGGTAGTATGTACGAATTAATGTATAGAAATGCGTTGCAACGACGATTCTGGTAATATTTTAATGTACCTCGACCACCTAATGTCATCGTGTGTGATCTTTCTTCTTCGAATCGTCGTTCGAAGCAAGGTAGACCAGTACAAGTAGAATGAATCGAGTAACATAGCCCATCTACACGCGTATCGTCGATCAGAGTTTGGAAAAATTCTCTGTAAGTGATAAATGACGAACAAGATGAAATGTATAGCAATTTCTTAAGTATTTAATACAAACAAATGTCGAACATCCTTTGAAATTAAACGGATGTTTATCTTTTATTTATTGTTTAAGAGTTTCACCTAGTTTTTGCCAATATCTGTCGTCAATGTTGTCGTTGCTTGCGGAACGCAACTCTGATAATTGTCCTTCGGCCTCAAGACTTCATCGAGGCTGTCTCGAATTACGGGGAACGTTGACTAAATCGTTATAGTATCGATCACTCAATCTTTGATCGAGCTTGGCGATCCTCTTTAGTCCAGCTTGCGTGCGTTTGCGATGATTCCTGATGTGCAAGATGTTGATAAAAATGTGAGACATGTTCTCAAAATTGATTCTTCATATTAAAAAAACAAACGAAAAGTTCTTTAACCTTTCGCAATCGGAAGCTTGACTATCGAGATATAAGCAGTTAAAGTTTATTGATGTACCTAGCGACACGCGCTATTTGTGCACCTGCGCATGCGATCGCACGCATGGAAACTTTAATTTCTTACATCTGGATAACGAAGCTTCAGATTAAAAAATGGGAAAAGGCTTATTTGCTTATATTGTCATAAAGAATTGATCTTGAGGAAGCTGTGCCATATTTTTGTTGACACTCTGTATATATCTTGTACATAATACACACCAGTGCTTTCCAACAGGTGCGGCTTGGCACATTGGTGACTACAGTAGGAGCGTGCCACATAAGTTTGTAATAAATTAACGAAAACAACTTCATTTGTAAAAGAGTTTCCATCGTTTAGGGACAACGCAGAGAATGTTCTTGTTATTTGCTATTCCATATGCAAACAAACCTCTCAATGAACGATAACCAAGAAATAAAGGGGAAACGATCATGGTTAGAAATTTTAGATACGGAATTGCGAGTAGCTATTCAAATCCAAGTTGCAGTAAAATTTGTTTAGAATATTAAGAAAACCTTCGCTAATTGGAAGAGTGTGCGGTATGAATGTTAGCATCTTCTATCCATGTCGTGATGTAATAATAGGGTTGGGAAGCACTGACATACACAATGAAAGTGTGATACCCAATAATCGTGTACGACATAGACCATTGCTTTCAGCGCATAGGATAAATTGTATTGTACAATAATAGCAGGTGTATAATAACGGTAGACTAAGCCTCAGGGACATGTAAATAGGTTAAGCTGTAAGATAATGTCGTATTAGTTTTTGCATTTGTGATCACATCCCCGTTCCCCTTCCTCTGTAAATACAATGTGTACTTTATCGTATACTTGGGCAATAAATGTTAGACAATCGTAAACGTGATGCGTCTAAGTCACATTTATACTTGCTGCGTGGTTGTTTTAATTTCCAGTCAGTCGTAACATTCGTAGCATATTGTTGCTAAAAGTTCATACACTTATCCAAAGTAACAATGGATATTTGTCAATTTAAGCATTTAAAAGAATTCAAGCTTTAATAATGCTAGTTAATTAACTATTCTTCGGTTTGTCAATAAAATGGTTCAAGGGGTAAAATTAGACCCTTAGATAACCTATGACTTCTCATTCCATCATGAGTAAATGAGTAAATTCTCAAATTACGATGAAAAAGAATGTTTAAGATTTTTTATTTTTGACACAATTCAACGTTATCCATTTAGAATTGAATAAAATTCTAACGTACTTATGATAGGAATTAAGAGCGACTATGCTAAAAATTATTTACCTCCTAGGGGTAAAATCATCCCCTAAAAGACGTGCCAGCAGTAGATAAGAAGAGTAAACCTGCTGGAAAAGTCGGTTTCTATTCTCCATCCCAATTATTTTGTATTTTCAATGTAATAAGCGATTGTAGAAAATAGCTTACGTAAAAAGATTATTACAGTTAGGGTAACAGGGTTTCGATCGAAGTGTTGAAAAAGCACAGATTCTAAGATTATCTTCATGGCCTTGAATTACCCAAGGGTTTTATCAGTAAAGCTCCTATCAGTTATTTGACACAGTGCCTGCTAGATGTCGCATATGTACAACGCAATTGATTGCAATTAAGAGGGTAGCGTTTTCTATTGAGCGCACAGATAGATGCAACAGAGAAATTCTCAACTACATATTCATTTGACTTTGATTTTAACTTCTTTCAACTCCTAAACAGTCTGCTATTGTAGGATGCAAATCAAGTTCAAGTTTCAATATTTAAATATAATGCTATTCGAGTTGAAATGAAATAAATATTGAAATACTGAAATGAACTGGAATACAATTTAAAAAATAATTATACGCATAACTCCATTCCACAATTAAAATTATTTGTTTATTTCTTCTTCGCGTATCATTTTTAGTATAGGAAGCCAACAGCATTGTGAATTAAGGTAAAATTGTTTTAAAAGCTATAATCAACAAAAATACGTATTTCAAGTGAGAAGAACTCAGTCAAAGGAACAGAGGCTTGATTTCGTATCGAGTATTCCATCTCAGCAGTTATTTAACCGAAATGTCTGTAACTATAAAAATAAAAATAATTAGCCGACCGTTTTTAATTGAAAAAGAAACACTTGTGCGTCAGTTGGTTAATTCCGTGCTGCGAAAGTGGTACACGGACGATAGGAAAGAGGCGAATGAATAAACGGAGATTTCTCATATAAATATTTCCATCTCCGTTCTTTTGCATATTTCATTTCATTTCCAACTACCATGGGATTCCCGAGATCGACGTCCAACAAAGACCGTAGGTACAATAACGATATTTGGGAAAGAATTATTATGGAACTTGGCAGAGCACTTTCGAGTAACGAGGGAAAAAAAGGGCTTTTCTCCATAAGCCAGCTCGTACATCATCGGCACGAATCCCTTCGGACGGTTATGGAACGAAAGAAGCTGTGATAACAAAGGCACCTCCGTCGGGCGATAGAAGTTTGGTAAACAAACGATGCTTCCACCGTTAAGGTGTACTACAGTAAATACCTACCTGTCGTTGAATGACGATTGCAAGAATTATGATGCCTCCACTGATCGATTAATATTTTTACCATAAGGAGTTATTTTACGTTATTTTATTTAACGTCTTCATTGCATCATGAGAAAATAGAATAAAAAGAGGAGTAAAGGCAACCCAAAATGTAAAAATCCGGTGGTTATGCAGCGGAGAATGTTCATGGTTCAGCAGCAGCTGTTTTACAACCTAACCCTAATTATGAATTTTACTGGCGACGTCATAACCAGCGTATAAATTTGAATCTCAATTTGTGTTTATGCAGAGTATGCTGCACTTCATGGTACAGCCAAAACGGAGGTAATTGTGTGAGATGAAGCAAGTCGAAAATTTATCGTGTATAATAATTTATTCCGTCGCGATTTGTGGAGAAGAATTGCTTTTACGACGATGTAACAAATGTATGTGGCAACACTGTCTGTGCCCGCAACAAATTTTCCATTTGTTCCGATATTTCTCTTTTAACTTATTCCTGAAAGTGATTCCTCTAAGGTGAAGCCGTTTGAGTGGACGAGAAGAAATAATAGAATGATAATTTTGATTTTAATGCTGCACTCTTTGGATTGGCGTAGGAGTGTCTCTTGAAGCAACATGTTTCGCCAAGTTATCCTTTGATCGTATTATCGCATAGCTGATATACGAGGATCCAACGGTGGATCCATATTGCTACAGGTAAGTACACATAGTTCGTAGGACGATGTAAAGTGCACAAGGGAAAGCCTTTCACGACCTGTTATTTTTACCTCGAACACTGTTTTCACATTTTGCCGAAGGCTCTCTAATTTAATTTTACATGACGGCCTTTGCTGTTGTTTCTATAGTTATTTCGCGAACCCGTTCCGCGCTATGAAACGACCCACGGCTAAACTGATATTTATACGACGTTATAGTAATTAAAGAGGAAAAGTTTCACAAAGAGACAGGAATGGATAATTTATATTAAGAAGAGCTTCTGTAAACACGCAGGGGCAACCACGAGGGATGCTACATTTAATATTATCACGGTTATACAGCAAAAAGTTTTCGGTTCGGACATTTTTAAATACATATGTATAAGCTCAACCATTACTAAAAGAAATTCTTTCGTCTTCGATTTATCGTAGTTACAACAATAATAATTAAAAGTTTTTTCTCGCAGGTAAGCAAAATTTTATTTTACACGACGTTTATTCGTCGCGTATCGAATGGACGTATTAGCAACGAATTCAAATAGAATCAATATTGTGAATGGCATAGAACATCCACATTGATTTTGCCGAGAATAGTGCACTGGCCAAATATATATACACTGCCTCTATTTTTAGAATACCCAACGTTTTTTTTTTTTTAGATAGTGGCTCAGGTCAAAAGAGACAATGAAAAAAATTTTTCGTTGAATAATTTTTATACAACGCAAGTCCAAGACCCCATTTTGGAGGGACACCAAATAAATAAATTAAATTACAATACTCTTTCATAATTTGACATTAAACCAAACGATGAAGAAATTTACTGTGTTTAATTGAATTTTGAATTGATTATACTTAAATCGTTTAAAAGCCACATAGAAGTATTTTTGTGTATATTTTCCAAAGTTAAGTCGTCACAAATATTTCACCCTCGCAATGCTCTCCCTGTTTTTTTGTCCGTGAAATATGGCAGAAAATGCGAACAGCAGTGAAATTTAGTGAATCCCTGGGGGTGTTTATGCATGTTTAGATTTACAATTCAATTTCGGTGGCCGTGCATGAGGGTATGCGTTTGGAAGGATTTCACGTGGAGGATTCATATAGTAAATGGATTACACCTCACGAGAAGGTCGACGCGTTAAAATACATATTTGAATTTTGCGTTCGACCCTTGGCGGAATAAGCGTTGCATAGTACATCAGAGGGTTCCGTGGAGCGTCCCTTTTCGCCTCGTTTGCGGAAACACGGCCCACTTAGTACCGTAGGTTTTTGATCTCTTCCTCTAAATCGCGACTCCCGCTTGAGATACCCCGAGGGATAAATTGGCTAACCCCAGTTTTCCACCTCGCCTTGAAACATATTGCCGAATGCGAATCGGTCGGGTCTTCGATCCCGAAATTTGCATTTCCTTCTTCTTGATTCCGCCTGGAGATTCGCAGGGTAATGTTACTTCGAGCCTGAATATCGACCATGGCAATGAAGGATGCCCATTGAATTTCCACGGAAACAATGAAATTTATGTAGGGTTACCATTGACCGTAAGAAAAGAGTTCATTCCTTGGGAAGGTTTCAAGGACAATTCGCTAAATTTTTACATCTCAGTGAGAGGAACTTTAATGATGCTGATATATGTTGTAGTTTATGTGAAATTAGGGGGTCATAATCTCTTCAGTTTAATAATTGTTTTAAAAATATATTTGTGAGATTTACTTTTCTTGGGGTTTTAATCAAGGAGGATGAATCACTCTAAATAAATTTTTTAAGCACTGCAAAGTTTACAAACAACATAGAAAATTAAATTGTGACAGCAAAGGAATTATTTAATATTTAATCTTGTTACTGAGGAAGAACGAAAGTGTCATTCAGTCTTACTGGAAAGTCGTTTCAAGCAGCGAACACTATTAATACCTTAACCAAAAGGTACTATTGACTCTTTAATACAAAATGAAAATTTTTATTGACCGTGTAGGAACCTTCAACTACTACCATCAAAAAAATTAGAACACAAAAGCTACCTCAACGAAGACTGTATAAGAAAACATTACACAAACAAACTTTACACATTCTTTATTGTCAAGCAGTGCCTATTAAATCGCTTACGTTAATTATATTATTCGATACCGTCCAACTTTATACTACACGAGAATATGCTGACACTAGCATTAGGTGTGTTACGTCCCAGCTTGTCTGTGACTCTTTCTTGGGATCTTCGTCTTCAATTAAAGAGCTAAAGCTCACCTTAACTGTATTCGCTAACGGGAAAGAGCAATTCGGGATTGCAATGGTTGTTTTCAAGGTTTAGCATATAAATATGTATTGTTACAAAATAACGAGTTTATATTACAATATCGGTTTTGGGAAATCAAGTATACAATTATGTAGGTACGTTACCGCTTGTCGGTCTTACAGTTTGGTTGTACCAGCTATCTGTTGTGGTCCCAGGGCTGTGCTGTTGCAAGGATCTGTTTGTCGGCAACTATCACTCGCGACACGGATCTCTACTAATTAACAACGGACTTTCCGCGGTAACGACGCAGCGCGCGTACGATTACTCTATCCGTGACTACAATAATTTAGTATTTGACGACCAAAGTGCGACGCTGAGTGCGTGTTCGATTGACGATAAAGGTTCGATGTGATCTTAACCGATTATACGTCGGAC